ACCGACTTGGCTAGGCGAGTCGCGGAGACACGGCGGATGCACTTTGATCCCGAAAAGCAAGCAGCCAATCCGCGTCTCTTTCTTCTGCCTGTCACCAATGAGAAGGGTGCGTTTCTGCAGCACACTTATCCCCTTTGTTTCCCCAGGCAGCTTTGGCGTGTTGGTTCTTGATTCAAACCCTAGTAGTCTTAAATACGTTAAATGTATTTAACTTTAGTCCACATTCTGGCCTGTGAGTATCGTTTAGAGGCGTGCCTTTTGTCTACCCAACAGCTTTCTCGCCTGACAGGTGAAGTCCCGTTTGGCTGTCCGTCGTACCTGCAGTGCGCCCACCTGCTCCAGGAAGCGATCTTCTCAACGCCGCGTCAGCACATGATGCCCGACCTCACCGAGATCCGATGGTTCGAGTTCGCGCGCCAAACCTGGCAGAGTATTGCAACCTCCCCCCTCTTTATCGACTATTACCGTCTTTGGATGAATAATACCTTGTAGTGGATCTCCACCGACAGGCTTATTTCTCGTTATTAGTACACACTCTACCCACCCTAAACAACGCTAACGCATTGGCCTTGAGAGTCAATCACCGCTGTAAGGTCACTCATCAAAGTAGCTACAGGTCCAGAGGCCAGTTTTTATGGATGACGTGATTGCACGCTTAATAACATCCACCAGTGCCTTCAGATTTAGGCCTATTATTAGGAAAAACGCCCGTTTACCCACTTAAACAAGCACGATGGAACACGAGCCTTTGACGCCCCAAGTACTCACGAACTTAGAAATGCAGAAAATTGTAAAATCATTCACCAAATCACAAAATAGCGTCCTCTTGTACAAGACATGTGCATGCACATGTACGGTGATCATATCCACGGACTGCCTGAGCCACTATCGTCATCCGGCCGCCAATCGAATGCCTCCGCGTCAACGATTGGCTGGAAAGAGTGCAAGTCATGCAGGGCAGTTGAGGGTCCAGGATGGTTGTCGGCTTCTCCCGGTGTCCGCCTTGTTTGTTGTGCTTGCACTCGCTTGGACATTGCAGCGTCGAACTCACTGGCTTCTAGAAGACCGGGTTGGCCAGTGACGAAAAGAGGTCGACAGTCAGCGTCCAGAAAAACCATCTGAAATCTGAAAGGGAAGTGCTTCACGTCGAAACGGAACGTCGTCCACCTTGCAGTCGAATGAGCAAACGTCTTGCGATTATGATTGTGATTAAGACTAGCTGGTCGTGCCTGGGGA